AAGTACATTTACCTAGTACAAGAGAAACCAAGGGAACAGTAAGGGACATTGTACTATGCAGAAAGAATGAACACAACATTGTATGTACACTGAAAAAAGCAAAAATGTACTTTCGTAATCTAAATTTCTTTTATACAAATAATAAGAAACAATGTCTTAAAGTAAACGTCCTTCTATTGGGTTTTAGGTTTACCTCAGTGTGCATAATGCTCAATTTTATACTTGATATCTTCATTTGAGAGGACTGTAATAATACTTTTTGTAAATATTACCATAAAATTAAATAAATCGCTGCTGTCAGAAGAAAACCTTGTATCTCCAATTTTGTTGTTTTTCCAATTTTGTTGTTTGACACTATTTGAAAATGCCTGTGGCCCTTTACATTGCATATAAATTTCATGAAGAATGGACCAGAAGAAATGGACCCAAAATGACTTCGAAAAATCTCTGCTTCCATTGACTTACATTAAGAGTAAAGTAGGTTTTTTACTTCTCCTGTAAAGTCATTTTGGAGACACGAGGTTTTCTTCTGATAACAGCGAAAGTGCAAAACAAGTAAAGAAACTGTTAAAGTTTAACATTTAAGAATACTACATTTAACTGTTACATTTAAGAATATTAGTATGGACACTGTAATTTCAAAAGCATGTTATTAGATGGTGATGCATTTTGTAAGTATCTGAGAGACTTAAAGGCATCAGTGGAAACAGTTACTTGCTGTCTGCAACACAGACAGTTTTATAACACACTAAATCATTGCGGGCCTGAGGAATCCAAGAGTTTGGTAAAAGAGACTGAGATTAGGAAAATGTATAATTAGAATTAAATTGCAGTTGAAGTTGAAAAGAGCCAAAGGTTGTACTCTGTAAAAGGCTTTATGCTAATAACATTCACACTCAAAGTCCATTTCGTATTCAGCACATAGAGCAACAACTATTGTGTCTTACCACTGGGATCTTGAAAGGCCCTGTGGTTCTGGAAAGCACTATAGTCGGAGAAGACTCAGACTCCCCTATAATGGCTTGCACTCCTGCTTGTCCAGAGCAGCCTTCTAGTGCTGTTAATTCCTGACCATTCATCAAAGCCATGGCTGCCTTCATAGACAATAACCTTGAGCCACAATTGTCATAAATCCTGTAACCAACTGAGATATTTGGGAGCAAGCTGCTGCTTCTGTTGATTTCCTCAATAACAAAAATCATAACCTGAGCAAAGCGCAGTTCTCTGAGGTTCAAGCTGTGGACATATGGAACCAGCCAAAAGAAAGAAAAGAAAAAATGATATGTTTAATATAATGTGAAGCTCTACATGCAATATTCTTCAGTTTTCCTATGAAATGAATCAGTCTATTATTATGTGTCCCACACTAACAAACCTTGAGCATATCAGAGGTTCTGGTTTTTCAGTAAATGACATTGACGGCATTGTTACGCTGCTGTGTATTGAAAAAGCTCCTCCAATTGTCACGTCTCCATCCTTAGACAGCAGAGGATACTCGGGGCTCTCCATAATATGGCATAGTGGTTTCTGTCCTTTTGCCAGAAGGATGAGAAAAAGGAATATCACATGAAAAAACATCACCAAGGCTGTCCGCTGCTTCTGCTACATGAATCCTCATCAACTACTGCATCTGTACTTTTTATAGATATGCATAGAAATCTTCCGGGTGTGATCATTCAGTTTAGACAAATCAGAGAGGGTAGACTACATGACCTCATTGTGGGACAGAATGCTAGCTGGGGCCTGAGGGTTTCAGCAAGATCTGGTTTAATTCAAGGTTTGTAGAATGTCCTATTTATAGAGAACTTTTTTTTACAATGCAGTAGGCCTAAAGTTCTGGATATTCTCACTGTTCACACACACCGATCAGGCATAACATTATGACCACCTTCTTGTTTCTATGTTCATTGCCCATTTTAATCAGCTCCACTTACTATATCGGTGCACTTTGTAGTTCTACAGTTACAGACTGTAGTCCATCTGTTTCTCTGCATACTTTGTTAGTCCCCTTTTACCCTGTTCTTCAGTGGTCAGGACCCCCATGGACCCTCACAGAGCAGGTACTATTTGGGTGGTGGATCATTCTCAGCACTGCAGTGACACTGATGTGGTGGTGGTGTGTTAGTGTGTGTTGTGCTAGTCTACACTGTTGGACTGAGAATAGTCCACCAACCAAAAATATCCAGCTAATAGCGTCCTGTGGGCAGCGTCCTGTGGGCAGCGTCCTGTGGGCAGCGTCCTGTGACCACTAATGAAGGACTAGAGGATGACCAACACAAACTGTGCAGTACCAGATGAGCTATCGCCTCTGACTTTACATCTACAAGGTGGACTGACAAGGTAGGAGTGTTTAATAGAGTGGACAGTGAGTGGACACAGTGTTTAAAAACTCCAGTAGCACTGCTGTGTCTGATCCACTCGTACCAGCACAACACACACTAACACACCATCACCACCACATCAGTGTCACTGCAGTGCTGAGAATGATCCACCACCCAAATAGTACCTGCTCTGTGAGGGTCCATGGGGGTCTTGACCACTGAAGAACAGGGTGAAAGGGGGCTAACAAAGTATGCAGAGAAACAGATGGACTACAGTCTGTAATTGTAGAACTACAAAGTGCACCTATATAGTAAGTGGAGCTGATAAAATGGACAATGAGCGTAGAAACAAGGAGGTGGTCAGAATGTTATGCCTGATCGGTGTATACCTTATAATATGAGATCTTATGAATGATATTCAACTTAAGATGGTCTAAATGCAGAAAAGCAACAGTTTTGGAAGGTGGCTTATCTTGTCTTTGTCATTGAGGCCTATGCAGTCATATGCAACAGCTAGAGCACCCAAATATTACATTTTGTAGATCTTATTAGTGACAATAAGGTAACACATCATCCACAGAGAACACCCCTGCACAGTATAATGCACAATTACTATTTATTTGCTTAATTTAAAATAGTGAGGAGAAAAAATAAGCATGAAATATGGTCTGTGCAAAAGTTATGGCACATTTGATATGTTTTTTTATTTTATTTTTTAATTATGTTAAAATCAACAAAACTAAATCTTGCATACAGTTGTAAGCACCTTGATTGGGCTCTTAAATTACACTTGTGAGATTTGCAAAACACAAGGTAAACAATTAATATTTTACGCCTGATTTCACAGTGGATTGCATCATGCAGTGTCAAACCCCGAGGATGTTTGTGACAGCAGTCTGATGTTGATATCAGCTGTGGTTTAATTAATAAAGCTGTTGTTTGTGTTTTACTGTTTGTCTGTTTTAATTGCTTTCCAGACAAGTGCATCCTCATGACAGTCTATTAGATTTTGTGGTTTTTCAGTAAAATACTGTGCCTGTCATTGAATTATTTTTTCTATTTTTGCTATAAATTGAAAACCTAATAACATCCTTAGAAAGCAAGGGGTACTTTAGGATCCCCATCATTTAGCATTTTGCTATTTCTCCCTTTGCTTTAAAAACACAGAACAGTGGAAATGCACACAGAAACATCACCAAGGTTGTAAAGTGCTAATCCATTGCTGTGCCGTAACTGGAAGATCTCATTATATACATGATCATGTCTACATAAGAGCATAAAATATGATACAACAGAGTTAATACAGTGTCTTTATTGAAGGGATAATACAGAGACTTTTAATGATCTTTGAAACCAGTGCTGATCATAGATATAGTGCCTTGGTGTGTAGTTTAACAGTATACAAAAAGTATGCAATCTTTTGTTTTTAGCTATTTTATCAGGTGTTTTTTTTTTTTAAGTGAAGTTGATGTTTCATTGATATAAACTGGGAGACTGACAGATCAATCTTTTTTTTTTTCTCTCTTGGTACACTATCGTTGTACTGGCACCACCAAGTGAGCCTCTGTCTAATGATGGTGATGCTACTTGAAATTAATTTTATATCTAATTCATTTAATTCAGTTTATTTTTCTACAGCTCAAACCCCTCTGTTTAAAACACATGACTACCACTGAGGTCCATATGAAAGAAAATACATGCAAGTGAAGTAAAACAGTGGATTTGAGTCAAGTTGAGGCAGTTCTTTGGGCTACAGTCTCTGGACTACAGTTCAGATTCTAAACCTGGTGCTGTGGGTTGGATTGGATTTAGGCAGAATGTTCTCTGGCTGTATTCAGATTCAGTTGAAAAATCAGGCCCACTCTAGGAGGTTACCCACAAATCATCCTGTTAATCATTTTTAATACAAATCATGCATTTTCATACCCAAAGGGTGGACAAAATAACCAAAACACCTAACACCTATACTAATATCACTTTTAATATGATACGGCCCACCTTTTGCCTTTGTGAATATGCTCAGTCCTTTTTGTAATGTTTTTACACTTGGCCTGATTTCTGTTATGTTATTGGGCTGTTATTCAAGATGAAAAGCATCCAGTTCTTTGGAATATGGTAAAAGAGGAAATGATCTTTCCTCAGATAAGGGTAGTTATGTTTCTATCTGGTGCTCGAGGAGGCCAGCATAGGTAAACCTGGTCCTATAGAATAATAGGGCCTCATATTCCTCGGCCATTATATGAGAGAAATTATTTGACTTAGTGATACTGACAAGATGAACGAGTCGCTACTGAATCCTCAATTATGGCTCCTTTACCATATTTAACAGTTGGCATTATATGGCATTGTGGGTAGAAGTCATCCTTTGGCTTGTTCTCCATTGCAATGACTCATTTTCTGTTCCAAGTCTGGTGTCTGAGGGTCATTTAGTGGGACAGCACCTCTCTAAACCCACTACTTTTTGGTATAATTTTGGACAGACTTACTATACATCTTGAATCTTTATTTAGTAGATGTATGTTTTACAGTACTTTATACATAGTACATTCTATAGTAAAGTATATTATATAGTATACTTTAAGTAGTATATTTTATATTTTTTCTTTTGCACCACATAGATATACTGATCACAGAATAAAATAACCACACTATGTAGATGCAAATATTTTATTTAATTTCTCAAAGTGATTTTGATGCCATTTTCCCCATAACATGTTTCTTTGTATTTAGTTCAGGCTTAAACAGAATGACATAACACTTAGGTGTAAATATACAGAATAATAAACCAAAACTTGAAGCTAAAATAGCAAATATTTCAACAGCTACAGTGAACTTTCCAGGAGAGCTGACATAAGCTGGGATGAAGGTGATCCAAACTGCACAAAAGATCAGTATGCTGAATGTGATGAACTTGGCTTCGTTAAAATTGTCAGGCAATTTTCTGGCCAGAAAAGCCAAAACAAAACACAAAGTAGCCAAGACTCCTATATAAGCCAGTACAGCCCAGAAACCTACAGCTGAACCTAACTGACATTCTAATATGATCTTATCCTTGTAGTAGTGCATATTGTTGTAGGGGAAAGGAGGTGATATTGTTAACCAAAGCACACAAATTAGGACCTGTATGAGAGTGAAGGCAAGAACACTGAGTCTCTGCTGTGGAGGCCCAAACCATTTCATGACATTACTGCCTGGAAGTGTAGCTCTGAAGGCCATTAACACCACTATTGTTTTCCCCAGAACACAGGAGATGCAGAGGACGAAGGTGATCCCAAATGCTGTGTGACGCAGCATACAGGACCACTCAGAGGGCTGACCAATGAAAGTAAGCGAACAGAGGAAGCACAAAGCCAATGAAAAGAGTAGCAGGAAGCTCAGCTCTGAGTTGTTTGCTCTGACTATTGGAGTGTCCTTCTTAATTAGAAACAAAATTCCCACTAACATTGTTAGTCCTGTTCCAAACAAAGAAAAGAAAACCAGTATTACTCCCATAACTTCTGTGAATGAAAGAAATTCTACGACCTTTGATACACATTTGTCTCTTTGGGCATTAGACCAGTATTCTCCTGGACACGGCTCACAGTTATTTGAATCTGGAAAACAATTACAGTCCTTGAATGAAAACAGACATTTCTTGTGGTTTTATTTATTGATACCATTGTTCAGGGTCTGTATCCTAAATAGTAGAAGAAGAATACAAAATGTACAACTAACAAATTTCCTTTGAAGCATCGCAAGCCTGAAATTACCTGTCATATTACTGATCTCTCCTTCTGCGCATGGTATACAGTCATAGCAGCAGACTGGCTTTCCTTTCTGTGCAGCCTTCCTGGTGCCTGGAGGGCAGCTCTCACTGCAGATAGATCTTGGCTTCTAATATGAGCGACATATTTGGCTGCAATTAGTATGATTTATTTATGTTTTTCACTATGACTCTATTGGTAGCAATTTATTTTAAGGAAAATATACTAGGGGTTTATCAGGATGGTTTGCTCAGTAGAGCTCAAGTTAGACACTTCTAAATGGTTCTGGTACTCACAATATATTACGTCTTATTTATTCTAACATGTATTAGCATGGAATTGGAACTGGGTTGTATGAAAAAAATACTAATAGCATTATTAGTTGTAATAATGCATAATAAAAACTTAATTAAACATTTTTACACAAGAATTAACCATCTATATTAAGATCTTATTAATGTTTACTTACATTTTATTCCTATAGGTTCTAGGTAATGTCAAGTGACTTCTGGAGTTTATTGAGTCAGAGCTTGTAAGACTTGAATAAGTCATTAATAGTTCAAATTATCTTCCGCATGATTATCACATGATTCACAAAATCATCAAAAACTCTTCCATAGTTTGTATGCAGTTCCTTGTTAAAATGGGTTAAAACTAACCAGCTTGTATGTTTTTGGCTACATAAAAGCTGTAAAATAATCTTTTCCTTCAAACGTGGGACGCAAATTGACTAATTTAAAAAATGTTTAGTACTTTTTAGCCTCTAGTGATGAGTAAAGCTATATTTAATCATGGAACATATCTTTAAGTATTAAAAACTGTGATTACCTCTAATGCAGTAAACTCCAGAAATCATGTGATATTATCTAGAAGCTATCAGAATAACACATCTCCCAGTTGTACAATGAATTGAAGTGAGTTAATCATTCGCAGTTTGCAGACCTCCAATTTTGTACTAATATAGGTCATAATGAATAATGCATAATGCATATTGAATTAATTTCTTGGGCTTTACTGAGCAAAGAACAAGACATTGATAACCCCTCAGTATGGTGCTTCTCACTTTTGTAGTTAATGAGATTATTAGAATGTGCCCACAAACCTCAACTTTTCCTCCACCCCAAATGATATTTTTATCAGTTATGACAAACTGCTGTCCAGGAGGAAGAGAGGCATCATAGTAACCCACTTGCTTAAACAGCACTTCTCCATCAGCCCCACGCTGCCAGTTTATCACATCGTACTTTGCAGCTGTTGCACCGGTGCTATCAAACCACACCTGTTCCCCTGTTTTTGTGGTAAAATTGACCTTTTTCAGAGATTCAACAACCTTAGGAGGAAAAAAAAGAACAGCTCTGTTCAAGTGGTGAAAATATCACAGATATTTCTTCTTATTTTGATTATTTTGCTACCTGCCATGGTTGGATTGTCTGATCTTTCTCACAACCCTGCTTTTCCATGCATTTGAGTAGGCTGTGTAGGGAATGTGCCACAGCATAAACACCATTGTAAATGTTATTCGCATATCTCAATTCGGAGATATCGTCATTGTAGTTTTTAAATGGAAACAGATCCTGATATCTGCTGCAGTTGTTTTCAGCTTGAGAAACGTTTCCTGTTGTAACCAAGCAAGGCAAAGCCGTTTCCCAAAACTCTTTTACAACGTAGTCAGAAAAGCCGATAATGTTGGATTTTCCCACATCAAATCCAAGGGATCCACCCAGTATGCTGTAACTTGTTGGAGTTATTAGATTGACGGCAGTTATCCATCCCTCAACGCCAATCATCTGGAAGCCTGTGACATTCTTCAGTATGAGCTGCTCTATTAAAATGTTCATCTCAATATGGGCGACAAATATGATAACCACTTTTGCAGTGCCTTTTTTGATGGTGTCAACCACTTTCATGAGCTTGGCTGGCTCTGATCGGTCAAACTTCTCAGAGTACTCCACACATATCCCCTCCTCTTTGGCTGCTTCCAGAAAAATGGCCATTCCATTGTTGCCATAGTCGCTATCACTGTTCACAGCTCCTACCCAAGACCAGCCAAAGTGTTTGACCAACTGTGCCAGTGCTCGGCTCTGGTAGTAATCACTAGCTATAGTCCGGAAGAAAGATGGGTACTCCGTCCTGCTGCTCAAACATTCGCAAGTGGAAGAATGACTTATCTGCAGAGAGAAAGACAGATTTCACAGGAACTTTACCTGGTTCAAGAGAAACTACTAAGGGTCAGTGTATTCTGCAGAAAGAATAAAGAAAGTGATTTTACTTTCATAATGGAATTAAAGTTAACAGACAGTAACTAAGCCTCATGTGTTACTCTTTAAATGAGAATGGTCAGAATAAAACCATGTAACCAGAAAAGTAAATTTACAGGAGATGAAAAAAAAAGTTCTTAACTTTCAATATACTATAATGTAAGTAAATTTCATTATGAAATTTTGACACAGTGTAAATAATACCTGGCATTTTGAAATTACACAAAACAGCAATAACATAAAGGTTGACAAAATTGAGATTTCTTTCTGCTAATATTATACACACTAAAAATGCATTTTGTAAGTATTCAGCACATAAAGCAGCCTTAAGAGTGTCTTACCACTGGGATCTTGAAAGGCCCTGTAGTTTTGGATAGTACTATAGTCGGAGAAGACTCAGACTCCCCTATAATGGCTTGCACTCCTGCTTGTCCAGAGCAGCCTTCTAGTGCCGTTAATTCCTGACCATTCATCAAAGCCATGGCTGCCTTCATAGACAAGAACCTTGAGCCACAATTGTCATAAATCCTGTAACCAACTGAGATATTTGGGAGCAGGCTGCTGCTTCTGTTGATTTCCTCAATGACAAAAACCATGGCCTGAGCAAAGCGCAGTTCTCTGAGGTTAAATCTGTGGACATATGGAACCAATTAAATTCTATGTTTAATGTAATGTGAATGTATTCATGAAAAAATATGTTTTCCTATGAAATGAATCAGTCCATTGTAATGTGTCCCACTCTAACAAACCTAGAGCATATCAGAGATTTAGGTTTTTCAGTAAATGACATTGACGGCATCGTTACACCACTGTGTATTGAAAAAGCTCCTCCGATGATCATATCTCCATCCTTAGACAGCAGGGGATTCTCTGGGCTCTCAATAACATGGCATAGTGGCTTCTGCCCTTTTGCCGAAAGGCCAAGAGAAAACAAGATCACATGAAAAAACATCACATATGCTGTCTGCTTCTGTTGCATGAATCCTCATCAGCTACTGTATTTGTACTTTTTATAGACATGCATAGAAATCTTCCGGGTATGAACATTCAGTTTGGACAAATCAGAGAGGGTAGACTACATGACCTCATCGTGGGACAGAATGCTACCTGGGGCCTGAGGCTTAAGCGAGATCTGGTTACAATGGTTGCAGTTTAGGTACAATGCTCTAGCACAATTACTGACAGAGAAGAGATGGTATTGACTGTAAGAATATATTGTCCATACACTGTCAGGCAACAGAGTAATGTCCTCCAAGATACAAGCAGTTTATCCCCAAAGGTTCAGCATGGTCTTTAAAGTGCAGTTGTATAGTTGTATAGGCTTTTTGTACCTTTTCATATATTTTCTGTGTCTTATTTATTTAAACAAAAAGCCTGGAGCTAAGACAGGGTGTATAGAATCAATGCAACTTAAAACATGATTTCCCTGAAATATAATTAGAGCAAATTATTTTTTTTAACTTCAAAGTTTCAAGGATTTCTCAGTATTAGACAACTATGTCAGTGTTAATGGAGCCTTTCTGATTTATCCATATAATTAATATAATTAATTTATAGAGAAATGATTAAATGCACAATGTAGATCTCCAAGTTAAGTAATGTTTATGTTAAATAGTACCTAAATATAAACATATAAAGATTATATATTGCAATTCCAACAGAGTTTGTACCGTATGTGAAATACCAATAAAAACAGAAAGCAGTTATTAATAAATTATGTTTGACTTGTATTAAATTATTAAATATTTTACCTTATGACTCATGTTTTTTTTATATATATATATTTGACCTTCAATGTTTTTCTTCTTTGTGAAATTTATTATGATTTTTTGGCAAAGTGACATGCCTCAATGCATCCTTGTTCATAAAGGACTAGGCCTTTCCTGGATGCTCCTTTACTATCCAAGCATGATTGCTTCAATAGTTGTAGATTTTTTTTTAACATTTTACAATTTCTGTAGCTTTAAATTGCCTCTGTGCAGGGGATCAACCTGGGACTGAGCTGTCTGCAATACCACAGCCTGCCACCAGAGGGAAGGACAGAGCTGCCACGCAGTAATCAAGGCTATTTGTGACACTGTATCTATCCATCTTAAGCCAAGTTCATTCACAGACTCATGCTCAGTCCTAGTGTTTCAGAGTTCTGGCAGCAGAGTTTGCTCTCAGGTCCCTTTCTCGAGCCTCTGTTCTGTACATGTTCTGTGCTCAAACCTCTGTAAAGAAAAGAATATTGGGCTCTGCTTTGACACTCCTTGTTGAGCCAGTCAGGAAATCCCTTGTCTATTAGTAGTTTTCTCTGTTCTCTGTTCTTTGCTTCCTTTGTTCTGTTTGTTACTTTGCCTACTCAAACTCTATATCACTTCTGTATTTGAGCCATTCCCTTTGTTTCATTTGGTGGCTCACTGAGTTTCTGCCAGCTTCCCATTCAAGGAGGAATGGGTTTCATTTCCTTTACATCAAATTAGGATTAAGCCAGACATGGACTCAGCAGAGCAGACAGGACTGAAGCAGGTGAAGATGGCCCTGGCAAACCAGGGTCTAGCGATCAGCAGGCATAAGCAGGCCCTGCAGCAGATTCTATCCCAGCTACAAGGTCTTTCAGAAATTTAGCACACTGGGGCGATCCCACAACTCACAAACTCATCTGCAATCATGGAACCCCGGAGTCTGTCTGGTTGCTGATTGTCCTTTATCAACAGCCTCCAGATTTCCTACCAAATGGGCTAAAGTGGCCTATGTCATTTTGCTGCTCACAGGCAGGTCTCTAGCTTAGGCCGCTACCATTCAGAGCACCAGCCTGCCTCCATAGACCAATTCATGTGTGAAATGTGCAGTACATTTGACCGTTTGGTCTTTGGATTGGCCCCCACCCCCCCTGCATACAGCAGGACAAGTGCTCAATGGTGAATTAGGCTATGGAATTCAGAATTCTAGGCTGTCAAAAGTGGCTGGAATTCAGAGGCCCAAATGGCTGCCTTCTGGCAAGGCCTAAGCAAAGAAGAGCTGGTGACTCTGGAACCCTTTACTTCGCTTGACCTCATTAGGGTGGCCCTCAAGCTGGAAAATTGGCTGCAAGAGTGCCGTAAGGAGCTAAATGCTGCTCACCCATCACTACAGTGCCAGATCATGCAACCAGCCCTGCAGGCTCTCGCGTCCCAAACAGGGTGAACAGCCCATGCAATTTGGCTGCACCATCTCTCTCTTAGCTGATGTAAGATGCTCATATGAAGGGGGGAGGGTATGTGTATTGTGGACACACTGAGGCCACCTCCATCAGAGTTAACCAGAGCTTCAGGGAATAGCCAGGGTTCAATCCAGTGTGGGAGATCTATGATGGACCCAGGCTTTTCTCCCCAGGTCTTGTGGGTGTTCCTCAGTGCAACCATCACCTGGGTACAACTGCATGAGAAACTCCCCAGGGCCTTTGTGGACTTTAGAGTCACAAGCACTTTCATTGTGACCCTTGCTAAGACCTTGAAATTGGCTCTAGAGATCTTAGGTAGTTGTGGCTTTGTGTTGGCAATCAATAATAGAGCCCTTGGCTCTGGAGCCATTTCTCAGCACACCCAGCCCATACTGTGGTAGGGGCAGCACATGGGGCAGATTTTCCTGGCTCTAGTGCAGGCTCCTAAGTTGCAGTTGGTTCTGCGGTTCTGGGGCAATTTCACAACCCACACATTGAGTGGCTTACATGGTCAGTGTCAGGATGTCAACCCCAGTGCCATGGCTTGTGTATTAAGATATCCCACAAAATCACTCAGATCTTCGTCGCGTTCCAGCTGAAGCTTTCGATCTCTCTCGAGTTACACCCTCCTACTTGGACCTTCCGAAGGTTTTCAGCAAACAGAGGGCCCAGCTCTTACCCTTGCACAGATCCTCCGACTGTGCTGAGTTGTTCCCAGGCACCAGTCCCCCCATAGGGCAGGCTGTTCTCCCAGCACCTACAACCTCATCTGCATCAACTAGGGGGACAGATGGAATAAGGTCTTCATCACCCCATCAGGGAAATAATTGAACATAAAACAGTGCCCTTTGGGCTCAAGTAGTCGGGGTCCACAGGCTCCCGAGAGACCTGGACTCTGAGAGAGGACCCCAGTTTGCTGACTGCTTTTGGAAGGCCTTCTGTCAACAGGTGGGGGCCTGAGTCAACTTCTCCTCTGGGTTTCACGGTTAATCCATTGGCCAGTATCAGTGAGTTAATTAGGACTTCAGGTGTGCTCTCCAGTGCATGACATCTGCCAACCCCTCCTCCCATACAAGGAGTCCTGGGTTCGATTCCCATTCAGTGTGAGCAACTGCTTTACACTCCTGTCTTGACTTTTTTGGAGTGTGTTCAGGGTGGATATATATTTACCAAAAACAACAAAGTTGATGTGATAAAACATTATATATCTTGTCTTTATGCTGTTTTTCTCCAAATACAGGTCAAAGTGCATTCATAAATCACTGCTTTTAGTTTTTGTTTGCATTTTACCTACTTTTCCCAACTTTGTAACAGTACTTAACATATTCATCAAACTTTTAAAATTGTGCCCTGAAGGACCCAAATACTTATTTGTCATCAGCATTTTTATGTTGGCTAAACCACGTACTGTAACACTCACTGCAGCATTTTATTTTAGTCTTCTTAGATGATTCCTGTTTCTATTATCATCCCACTTTGACAGTCATTATCAATACATTTACATGTTTATTTCTGTTGTAAAGAGCTTACAAACATGAATTAAAGAGAATGGTGTGCTTTTGTAGGCCTCTAAGGGTAATCCTTGTTATTAGCTGTTTCTGGAATGGGGTTGAGCTCAACTTCAGAATAGCACTACATAGAGATCTAGTATAAGATACTTATGAAAGGGCCATTCCAAAAGTGAGCTGTTCCTTATGTAGTGTTTAAAGTGGACTGAGAGCATATTTGATCTCCTTTTGTCTGTGCTTGTTATCAGGCCTTTAAGGATGCGTAGGTGTTTACACATGGGAGATTGTTTGCATTATCATAAATAAATGGAAATAATAAAGTTTGAATATGGGTCACATTAGTGCTGCGGTGTCTTTGTGTGTAGTGAGAGTGTCTTCAGTGGGCCTTAAACATAGCCATTTGGTAAGAAACGTGACAAAAGCTGAAAAAGAGAATTTTGGCTTGAACCCTACTACATAACATAACCATGCCATAAACATGTCATAACAGATTTTATTCTGTAATATAACTGCTATGTTACCTTTACAGCTTCTGTCACTTTTGTTAAGTATTCTCTAGTTAATCATGACATCAAAAATTATGACAATTGCCATTAATGTTTACCGCATTGATAACACTTTTATATTACTGGACATAATCTGTCATGACAACTCATGACAACATATGACATCTACCTGTATGTATATGACATGGTCATGTCAATGTTATGTAGCCGAGTTCAAGTAAAGTGTTACCAGACACATGTGTTCCTGCATGATATCCCATATCCTTTCACCATAGCTTCTATGTGAATAATATGATTTTGGTCAGATCTGAACACTGTTCTCTGTAGTATATCAAGATGAAGAGGGTCCTGGTGTCCAGGCCTGTGAGTTCATGAGAAGGTGCACACAGCCAGCAAGGCCTGCACAGCCAATAGGGAGCTTTGTTTTCTTTCTGTGAAATGTAATATATCTCTTTCACATATATGTTTTGCCCTTTGCACATACCTTATGCTTAGATCCAGTACAAAGTGATCTACAAACTGCTAAGATGTAAAACTGACCAAAAAACTTTTCTCAGAGTGTACTTTTCTCAAATAGATCAACAAGATAGAGAGGGAAATGAAGTCATAATGTGCTGATGAGCCAAGGTATATGTTTAAGGCTTAATGTATGTGTTTTTTTTAGCTGATTTGTCTTGCATTTAAGTTACAATAACATTAATAAGACACCATGTAGTTATGAACAATATCAAACTTTAATAAATAATTAAATAGA